TTGTATTTCAAGTCTGTGGATCCAAATAAATCTGATGGCATTAGTGTTTGTGTTAAAAGCCATCTTAGTAAGAGTTCAAGAAATAGTTGGACACTTTGGATAAGGATCAAGAGTCTTTGTCTTTCAATACAAGTTTGTTTCATTATTTAATTGGGAAAAATTTTGGTTGGGTCAGGAGATGAAAACTTCCTTATTTATTAAGACTTTGACTATATGAAGTATTCTTTATATATAGAAGTCTTTTGGATATCAAGAATGCTACATCCACCAAATTATTTACCAACTTTTAAATTCCAAATCAATATAAACCACATGATCAGTAGATTCCAAACTCTCACTAACCATCCAATTGCTATCAATGAGACACATCATTTGGGATTCAAAAATTTGGTAAAATGTTTGGTGGACATTTCGCTTTGGATATTGGCCTTAGGCGTTCAACTATATTGAAGAGCTTGATGACGACAATTTGTTTTGTCTGATAAATTGGGTCTGCTCTATTTGTTTTTGGGTCTTCTTCGAGAAAGCCAATATTGGCTAAAGAAGATTTTTGGCACTATTAATCTTGTAATAGTGATATAGAAAATAGACGTTCTCTTTTTGCCTTTATTTCGGGAACGTTTTGTAATCTGCAACCTTTAATAGTGAAATTTTACCACTGTGTTTCGTTCTTGGACGTAATCTTTCTTGTTGAGCCGAACCACGTAAATCTTGTGTGTTATATTTTTCTATTTCATCGCGTTATTATTTTTCTTGTGAAATTGGTTCATAACAAACTGGTATTAGAACTATTGGTTTCGGGATGGTTGCAGCAAAATTAAAGATAGAAAAATTTGATGGTCAGAACAATTTTAGTTTATGGAAAATTAAAACAAAGGCATTTTTTCGACAGCAAGATTTGGAAAAGGGCATTGATGGATTTCTATCCAAGGAGATAGATTAGACTAAGTTGCTAATATTTAAGATAAAGCACACAATGCAATTCAATTGCCTCTTTTTTATGAAGTCCTTCATGAGTTCATCGATGAAGACTATGCCGAAGGGCTATGGAAAAAGTTGGAGAGTTTGTATATGAAGTCTCTTGCCAACCATTTGTATCTGAAGTAACGGTTGTATACACTCAAGATGAAAGAATGTACGCCCATTAATGAACATCTTGACGAATTTAAAAGAATTACTATGGACTTGAAAAATATTAATATGAAAATTAGGGATGAAGATCAAGCCCTTATAGTGTTATGCTCAATGCTTGATTCGTTTGATAATTTTGTTAATTTGATGTTGTATAGGAGAGACTCAATCTCCTTAGTTGATGTGAAATCCTTTTTAAATTCTAAGGACTTGCGTACTAAATTGAATGGTAAAATCAGTGATGCTCAAGTTGAGGGTTTGTTTGTGAGAGGTCATCATGTAGTTCCTCTAATAATAATAGAGGTCGATCCATTGAAAGCAATTCAGATAAAGGAAAATGAAAATTTGGATATCGATCATAGTGTAGGAAGAAACAGAATAATGTTGAATGTTTCTATTGTCACAAAATTGGTAATCACTAGCGTGATTGTTTTAAGTTGAAAAATAAAGGGGACATAAAAAATCAAATCCTTCCAATTCTTCTAGTGTTGATGGTGTTGTAGAAGATACATCTGATGGTTCAGATAATGTCCTTATAGTTGTTAATCTTTGATGGACATTTTAATGATGAGTGAATTCTTAATTCGGGTTGTTCCTATCATATTTGCCCTAATAGGGAATGGTTTATCACCTATGAATCAATCAATGGTGGTTCAATCTTGATGGGAAATAATATTGCTTGCAAGGTTGCTGGAGTAGGTACTATCCGAATTAAGATACATGATGGGATTGTGAGGACTTTGGCAGATGTATGACATATTCTAGAATTAAAGAAGAATTTGATTTCTTTGGGTACTTTAGATTCCATTGGTTGCAGGTTTTCTGCTGAATGAGGAGTTATGAAAGTTTGTAGAGGTTTACTGGTTGTGATGAAAGGTAAAAACATTAATGGCCTCTATATTCTTTAAGGTGATACTGTAATTTGTGAAGTTATAGTGTCATCTTCAAAATTTTCAAATTTAGAATACTATCCAATTATGGCATATGTGTTTGGGCTACATGACCGAGAGGGGAATGAAAGTCTTGTGTAAATAGGATTTGTTTAGAAAATAGGAAATTGAGAAGCTTAATTTTTGTGAGCATTGTGTCTTCGAGAAATAGTGCAGAGTCAAGTTCATTACAACTATTCATATGACTAAATGTACAATTGATTATATTCATTTAAACCTTTGGGGTCCTTCTCAGGTTCCATCAAACGGTGGTGCTCGGTATTTTTTGACCTTTATTGATGATTATTCAAGGAAGGTTTTTGTTTATTTTCTGAAATGAAAGAGTGATATTTTTTCGAATTTCAAGCAATGAAAGCTTTTGATTCAGAAATAGACATACGAGCAAATCAAGCATCTCAGAACATATAATGGTTTGAAATTTTTTGGAGGTGAGTGTAATGAGTTCTGTAACGATGAAGGCATTGTCAGGTATTGCACTGTCTGTTCTACTCCATAGCAAAATAGGGTTGCAAAGAGGATGAACATGACTCTTTTGGAGAGAGCACATTGTATACTCTCTAATGCAAGGTTGTTTAAATATTTTTGGGCTAAGGCTGTTTGTCCTACTTGTTATTTGGTTAATTGTTCTTCATCCACTACTATTGAGTTGAAGACTCCATATGAGGTATAGTTTGGTACTCCTGCTGATTATTCTGATTTAAAAATATTTGGTTGCATTACTTATTATCATGTGAATGATGGTAAGCTTAAGCCTAGGGCTAAGAAGTGCATATTTATTGTTATGCTAATGGTGTGAAATGATATAGATTGTGGTGTTATGATCCTAAATTGCCTAAGTTTATAATCAGTAGGGATGTTGTATTTGGTGAATCTTCTATGTTTCATTCGAGAAAGGAGTTTGTAGTTTCTACAAGGAAAAAATATGGTTATTTCAAGGAGGTGGAGCTACAGGTGGAAGCTTTATAGAAAGTACAATAGTTCAACCTATTATAGATTTGCCTAGTTCTAGTTCTAGTTCTAGTTCTAGTGATGATCAACAGGTGGAACAACAATATAGTATTGCAACAGGTAGGGAGATGAGGCAAGTGAGGCTTCCTCAGAAATATGGGTATGTAGACTTGGCGGCGCACATACTCTATCAGAGGAGTTTGGTGTTCAGGAAGACGTTCCAATCACAATGAATTTTCCTCTAAAGGTAAGGGATTCCATCCTACAAACCAAAACAATCGCGTTATGCCTCCAGCAAATCAGTCTGCTTTTCCTCTGTCAAGTCAAATAAAGAACGCAATCGGGATTTAACTTGAGAAATTTGTGGCAACGTGGGCATGAGGCATTAAACTGCTAGTATAGGTTTGACAACGCCTATCAGCCCAATGGTGTGCCTCAGGCCCTTGTTGCGTTAACAATTAATAGCGGGGCAAAAGATCAGTAGTGGATAGCAGATATGGGAACTTTGGCACACATGACATCCAATCTAGGTATTCTAAAAAATTTACGCCCTTATACCATCTTGGATCATGTTATGGTAGGTAATGGTCATCTTTTTTTTATTACACATGTTGGTGAAACAATGATAGGAACCCATTCACACACTCTTAAACTTAATAATGTTTTACTAGTACCAAATCTTGAAAAAGAACTGCTATCAGTTGGTCAATTAACTACTGGTTAACCACTTAATTGTTAGTTTTTTGGTGTTGGTTTCACTATAAAGGACAGGGCCACCAACCATATACTACTGAGAGGACACAAACGGGGTAACCTTTACTTTATCCTTTTTTTGCCTGAGGTCCACTTCTCGATGAGATTTCAAGCTATGAGCAATGATGTTTGGCATCAGAGGCTAGGCCATCCACAAGCAGCTTCTGTTTCCAATCTACAATCCCGCAAATTACTTAAAGTTCTTGCCAAAAATAAAACCACATCCATATGTGAAAGTTGTCAAATAGGAAAATTCAATCAACTTTCTTTTCTTATCTCTTCAAATAAAAATTATGGTTTACTTGAAGAGCTCCATTGTGACCTTTGGGGGCCTACTACTGTTAATTATGTTGACAAGTTCTCCTATTATGATGTTTTAGCTGATGAATTTAGTCGATATATGTGGTTTATACCATTGAGACATAAATCTGAATTGCTTACATCTTTTTGTTTATTTGTTACATTCCTTGATTGTCAATTTTCAATAAAAATCAAGGTTTTCCAATCTGATGGCGGAGGAGAATTTACTTCCAACATCTTTGAAAATTACTTACAAGAATTGGGAATCATCCACCAAGTCTCGTGTCCTCAAACACCGAAACAAAAATGGTATTACTGATGTCACCACCAAATTATTTGTGAATTGTGGCTTACTATGTTGTTTCACAATGGTATGCCCAAATGTTTCTGGGTAGAGGCCTTCTCTACGGCTGTCTTTTAAATCAACCGTATTCTGACTATTACTCTTGGCAATGACGCACCATTCTTCAAGTTTTATGTTAGACATCCAACCTATACCTACTTGAGAGTGTTTGGACCAAAATGTTTTCCATACATCTGGAATGCTCAAGCCACCAAATTTGACCCCAAGTCCCTTCCATGTGTGTTCATGGGCTATAGCAATAGATACAATGGCTATAAGTGCTTTTATCCCCCTACCAGACACATTTATGTTTCCCAACATGTAGTCTTTGATGATGGGAATTCTCCCTTCAAAAAACCAGCAAGCTTACACTCACCTTTAGCATCTCCTAAGGTTATGTCAACCTTCTCCAAATGGTTAGAGTCACGGTCTCCCACTAGCCCCATACACGACTCACCCCACCACTAGTATTTTAGCTACCTCTAACATTTAATTGATGCAGGATTAGCTTGATACAAATATGCCTTCTATGCTGCCATTAGTTACAGACCAAACAGATGATGACACTGTCATCAATGTTGACTGCCGCACCAGCGCTTACCATACCCCTCATTATGAGTGAAATAGAGGAACATTCTCTTTCTTTCGAGCCACCGAGTACCTCTATTAGCAACTTTTCCCTTACTGATTTTGAACAACCTACTGAGCTTGCTAGCTCTAGTGTTGCCCCCTCACTCCCCAATGACAGCACCGCTACTTCTCTTTTTGAATCTGTCATGCTTCTTCATCCTATGGTCACACCAGCAAATGTAGGTATCCATAAACCTAATCCCAAGTATGTTGATCTTCATAAACTGCACTCTATTCCTAAGGAACCAAAGAGTATCCGTTACTCCTTGAAACTTGAATGGTGGACTCATGCAATGCATGAGGAATACGCACTCCATCATAATAACACTTGGTCCCTTATTCCTTGAAATTTTGATATGCATGTTATTGGATGCAAATGGGTCTTCAAAACGAAACTCAATGGTGATGGGTCCTTCAATAGTTTAAAGGCCCGCTTAGTGGCCAAAGGCTACCATCAAATGGACGGTGTTGATTATGTCAATACATTATCCCTAGTCATAAAACCATGTACAATTCGTATAGTTCTCACCATTGCGCTAGTTCAAAAATGGGAGATTAGACAATTAGATGTCAAAAATGCCTTTTTACATGGTTTTCTCAATGAATACGTCTTCATGGAACAACCACCAGGCTTCGTTGATAGCTCTGTCCCTAATCATGTTTGCAGATTAGATAAAGCTCTTTGTGGTTTAAAGCAAGCTCCTAGAGCTTGGTTTGATAGATTTAGTAGTTTTTTTTACTAGAATTTGGATTCTTTTGTAGCATGTCCGACCCATCCCTTTTTATTTGTCATTTGACTAGTGGAACCTTAATTTTATTACTCTATGTTGACGATATAATTTAACATGATCTAATATCTACTTACTCAGTGAATTTATTCATGCACTCCATCTTGAATTTGCCACGATGGATCTAGGTCCCTCAAATTATTTTCTTGGTATTCAAGTGACTCCTACTACTAATGGGTTATTGTTATCTCAGTACAAATATGTTCTAGATATTATTGAACGTGCACAGATGAAAGATTGCAATCCAATTGCAATGCCAATGCCTCCCAAAATGAAGACCTCTGTTAGTGATGTTCCTTTCTCTGACCCTACTCATTATCGTAGTATCGTTGGTGCCCTTTAGTACCTCACATTGACTAGGCCAGATTTATCATTCAGTGTCAAATTTGTGTCCCAATTCATGCATACCCCCACAGAGGATAACTATCGGATGGTCAAGCACATTATTTGTTATGTTCAAGGAATAGTTGATCTGGGCATCTATCTCTTATCCAACTCCACACTTGATTTATGTGCATTCATGGATGCTGATTGGACTGGATGTCTAGAGACTAGAAGATCCACAACTGGCTTCTGCACTTTTGGGTAGTAACTGTATCTCCTGGTGTGCAAAAAAATAAAATACAGTCTATCGCTCAAGCACTGAAGCAAATATAGTTCAATGGCTCACACCACAACAAAATTAACATGGCTTGCCTCCCTCCTTTGCAATCTTGGTGTTTGGCTAGACAAAAATCCTATTCTCTTTTGTGATAACTTAACTGCTCTACATATGAATGTCAATCCGGTGTTCCATGCCCACAACAAACATATTGAGATCGACTACCATTACATTTGAGAATGTGTTGCTCTTGGCCTTCTTCAAACTCGGAATATTTCGTCTTCTTACCAATTACTAGACATTTTCACCAAGCCTCTTTCTCGATTTGATCTTCAACAACTTTGTGCCAAACTGAACCTCAACATTCAGCTCAGTTTGCGGGGCATATTGGAAGTGATTCTCCCATTGACATGACAAAACTGAAACAAGAATGAGCAAACAATGGCAATCCGCCTTTTGAATGTAATATAATTCCAAAACAAATGCCTTCTAATTTGGACAGATTAAAAACTTCCTTAAAATGCTCCTAACTCCTTGAATCACTCCCCAATGGCTAGTGATCCATAAAACAACCTATAATATTTCTTTCCTATTTTCTTGTTATTACTCCTTGTAATTGACAACAATACTTTATAAATGAGACAAGTCACTACTCTCAAGTAAACCAGAGTATTGCACAAAAAAGACCTTCTGTTCTTTTTCTTTATTCAATATGCACTTCTTATTGTAAAAATACCAAAATAAGTATAGTACTATAGCAGTCCATCAGGTGTGAATTGATCGCAAATAGGCATGGAGTCAATTAGATCTGCTTCAAAGGGTAGAAAAATCTGATGGAGTAAATCCCCTTTCCACGTTCCTTGTGCATGATTAATAAAGAAACTTATACTATTATTACTGATACGGATGAAACTCAAAGCCAGGCCTTGATGGCCCAGACACTTGACCAGCCCAAGAGGTTCGAAGTAGAAAAGTGGGACCTGGCATTAGCAAAAGCCTACAGCCCAGCAGTCCAGGTCTAGCCCAAACCATAAGGCGATTCGGAGAGTAAAAGCCCAATCCAAGCTATTTTTGGATGAGCAAAGGGGACCATGCATCCAGGGGGACCAGCCCTGACACCTACAGCAATCCCAGAAGGTGGAGCACCAAGCCACCAAAGATCATGGCAAAGGTAGCGCCGGATGAACAGGGACTCCAGATGAACAGTGATCGTGGTGGCAGAAGAAACAGGAGGGGGACAAGGGAAAGGACAGCTGGAGGCCCTAGGAGAAGCTAATATAAATGGACAATGATAAGAAAAGGACTACAATGGCATCTCCCCCAACAAAAAAAGATCAGGGAACATTTGAGAGGTAGAGAGCGTAGAAAGCTGACAGAGAATACCAAAATAATCATTCTTTGTAAGTGGACCCTGAGTCCCAAGTCACTAGAGACACTTTGCCGACAGATGAATACATAATCCCAGCGAGCAAGAGACTCCGCTGATAGTGGACGTAGCCTTAGTCCTTCGGCTAAGGTGAACCACTTACATTCCTTGTCCAACTGTTCATAAAAGATTAATCCACAATNTGGACCCTGAGTCCCAAGTCACTAGAGGCACTTTACCGGCAGATGAATACATAATCCCAGCGAGCAAGAGACTCCGTTGATAGTGGATGTAGCCTTAGTCCTTTGACTAAGGTGAACCACTTACATTCCTTGTACAACTGTTCATAAAAGATTAATCCACAATCTGTAAAGCCATTCTCACATTATCACCCCATCATAATCGTGCTTGGGCCCTATAATCCGAGCACCATCAGTTGGCGCCATCTGTGGGAACGCTTTTTATCGTTTCCTTATCTGATTTCTATTTGATTGTTTCAACTCGGAATATGAGCAAAGCTCTTGCCAACCCTCAAGCCCACCAGAACCTGCCAAAAGATCCCTCGATTCTAGAAGTGGACACTGCAAACCACTTTACAGCGACAAACCTTCCCCCTCTCGAGGAGATGGATACTTTCCACCGAACCATGATACAACTTATGAAACAAAATCAAGAGCTGCTGGAATGGATACGGACTCACCAGCTTCCTCCATTCCCACCAGCTCAACAAGAGCCCCCTCCACCGCCAACAGGTCACGACTCTCCCCTTCGAGGACACTAGTCTCCACCAAATGGGGTCACAGAGCTCCACGAACACAACCACTCTAGAGAAAACCATCGGAGAAAATACTCCAAAGGAAAAAATGAGGACGAGGCCCATAGTTGAGCCACCACGGCCTTCAAACAGGATAGACCTCACCCTCTGTTCGAAACAGATGATGGCATATGGGAATAGAGAATCCGTAAACTCCAACGAAAGCTGCGCAACGTGAAGGAAATGGTTAAAGGAAAGGCCCCCGACACCATGGATGTGCTAGTCCAGCAAATTGAGTCGCCATTCACACCTTAGGTCCTCCATTTCCCTCTTCCTCAGAAGTTTTGGATATCGTCGGTAGAAGCATTCGACGGGACCAAAGACCCAATCGACCACTTAAACTTCTACAAGAATTCGATGGAACTCCAGGGGTATCCCGACCCCATTCTTTGCCAAGCTTTTGCCATCACCCTAAAGAGGTCGGCAATAGCTTGGTTCAATAGGTTACAACCGACATCAATCTCCTCCTTCAGGGAACTGTCAATACAGTTTGTCTCACATTTCATCAGAGCAAGGACGCACCGAAAGCCATCCTATCACCTGTTGAGCATCAAACAGGGACCAAACGAGTCCCTCAAAAGTTATGTGCAACGTTTCAACTAGGAATGCTTGAAGGTGGAAAGCGTGGATGATAAATTGACATTAACCACCTTCATGTCGGGGCTCGGAGTACAATCCAAGGACCTTCTCTTCTCGATTGCTAAGAACCCTCAAGCTACTATGGCTGAGGTGTTGGCAAAGGCTGAAAAGTACATTAACGGCGAAAAGGCTCTTTGCCTGAAGGGAAGTTCGATAATGCCGAAAAGGGAGAAGAAGAAGTGAGACCATATGCCCAAAAGAGAGAAGAGGCACGACCGTTCCTCGAGAAGAGACTGTTCTCCAAGAAGAGGAAGAGAGCCTTCCCCCAAAAAGAGAGGAAATGTCTGAGATCGGCTAGGACCTCCTCCGCAAGAGCTATAGCCACGGTATGCTCCAGTTCAACTCCCACCCCTTGTCACCTCGATCTCTCAGGTCCTCCATGAGGTCCAAAATGAGAGGTTTATCCGATGGCCACCACGAATGAAATCCAACCCCAACAAGCGGGACACCACTAAGTACTGTGAGTACCACAAAGACACCGGTCACAAAACAAACGACTACATACAACTCAAGAAAGAGATAGAATATTTGATCTAGAGGGGACACCTGCGCCACTACTTGGCGACAGATGGAAGGGCTTAGAATAGTTAAGGCCGAGAAGATCGAGCTGTCCTAGATCCCCCTCAGTAGCACCAACAAGCCGTTGGCGAGATCAGTGTAATCTCTAGCAAATTCGCTGGAGGAGGCGAATCCAATTCAGCATGTAAAGCACATGCTCAGAAGGCATTTCGAAAGACCACCTTGAAATCCATATCGTACAAAAGGTGCCTCGTCGAGAAATTGAGATCACCTTCTCAGATGCGGACCTCGAAGAATGCCAACAGCCACATGACGACCCCCTAGTCATAAAGGTGATTGTAGCCAACAAAATCGTGCACTGAGTACTCGCGACAATGGAAGCTCCACTAATATCATTTTCTTGTCGGCTTTTGACCAACTAGGTATAGACAGGTCGAACCTCGAACCCGTGAAATCCCTCCTACTAGGTTTCTCAGGC